AAAATACGCAAGTACATAGGTTTCTCGGCCACTCTAATTCGCGGACGAGTCACCGTGCTGGAACCACGTCCAGGCTCACAGATTTTTTTTGCACATCTTGGGGCCTGCATACTGTCCGCAGTCGCTGTAATGCTCTTCATGCGTCCTGGTTGTATTAGCTCTGTAATTCGCTGCCAACTGGCAATCTTGAGTACCCATCGACTGTCCAGTAGGCAGGTCATGCTGGAAAGGCGACCATGCACAAGCTGCTTGCTATGCAAGTAGGCCATACCGCCAGCAATATCGGAGGCCAGTGTCAGCTTCAGAGGCTGGCAGATTTCGTATTGACCGCTGTGTAGCAGTTCAAAGAGGCTGCCACGTACACACTCCTCCACCACCGCGTAATATATGCACGGGAGAATGAAGTCCGTCTCAGGGTAGCTTCCATGCCTGCCGAGGGCCGAAAGCTTCCTGCCAGCGTCCATGGATTTACTGCGCAGTAATCTGCCAGTTAGTCGTAACCTTCTCACTAGGTCAGCCCTCCTACTGAATTTTCTGCGCGAACTAACTTTCTGCTGGGGGACCTTCGAGAGCCCGAAGAAGGCTTGCACATTCTCATGCTCTATGTCTAGGTAACGCTGAAGATTTTCTCGCAGGTTTTTGGCGAAACGAGCTGAGGTGGTCATATTGGTGGGATAGAGGAGGACCTCGTTGCCGTGGTAAGTGCGATAGGCAGGCGCCGTGGAGAATACAGTATCCGCGTAAATCCAAACGGCCTGTAGACAGTGCTGAGACTGCCAACCGCCTGCGGGGCTTGTCAGTTGTAGTACCTTCTCGTAGAGCCTAAAATTCTCCTGCATTTGGCGAACGCCGTCCAGGAGGTGGCTGTCTGCATCCAGCGGCTGCAGGTCTTCCATGTTCACTAGGAACCTCGAGGTGGAATAACGATGAATGCGTAGATGGCGTAGCAGAAGCAGCAGCACCACCAGGATTATGACCGTGGTGAGACAGAGTGTGAGAATCAGATCACGACGACCATCCTCAAGCACATGCGACAGCACAGCCTCCGTCTCCCGCTGTCTGGCGTAGAGCGAGGAAGCGGCAACAGTAACCTGCGATTCCTCCGGGCCGTTAACGCAAGTGAGTGTATCCAGGCCAGCTGCCCTACTAACCGACTGGGTGAAGAGAGACTTTGAACGGAGGATGGAATCGGCCACTCGAGAATGCAGGAGCCAGTACAGAAAGCCGTACAATTCTACCTGCAGGCGACAGGCGTCACTCAGGTGAGATGTAGGTCCACTTTCATTCCGTGGGATGGAGTAGGGTGGAGTGTCAAGATGACGACGCACAAATGCCCGGTAGACGACCACTAGGGGGTAGGGTGGTGGTGGTGGTGTTGTCATGTCAGGAGTGGTTCCCGCCTGCTGCCTGGGGAGCCTGTCAGTGAGGAAGAGAGCAACGGCCTCGGTGACGTGGGCGACGGTGCCCCACAGGACTGTCTGCTCACAGGCCTCTGGCGTCGGCTTGACAAGGCGACCGTCAGAGAGGACGATACGCACCAGTGGCATAGTGAGGGAGTTAGGCTCATAGGCCAGTAGATAGCCAAGCGTGTAATAAACAGCATTGACTAGACTAACGACGCCGGCGGGCAGGAGAGTGTGTAGACTAGGATGAGCTGATTCCCAGTTCTGGAAGCTATCCAGGGCGCCATAGCGTTGTTTCCACCTGAGACTGCTGGTCGAAAGGAATGTTGTGAGGATGAGGTTGGACAAATCTCTATCGTCTCGTAGGACAAGAATTATGCGTTTGTGTGACAGCGACAGGGCTAAAACAAAAATAAATGAGCCTGGAATAATAGAAGAGGCAAACGACTCTGGAAAAACAGTAGTATCCGTAAAAAGGGGAACTAACAGTTGAATGTAAGCCCTAGTCCTGCACAAAATGTCAGCAAGAGCGACAACTGCAGAGACATGGGGGAAAAAAGGAAACAGCTCCAGCAGAATAAAAAATAGATAATGTGGCGATGCTATTGAACAGTTCAACCAAAGAAGGCGAAGATGCTCTTTAGAAGAAGAAAGAAAACATGCAATCGCTGGAACAAAGCATCTATTGGCCTGACGTTTCGGATTCTCACACGAAGTCATCATCAGAGACAGTCACAGATAAGGGTGGCAAGGGAATCAGAAGTGCAGTATTTATAGGACCACGTGCTTAATCGTCGTCACGCCGACGAGTCAGCATCACGCCAAGCATTGAGAACGGTGATGAAATTTCGACACTTAACGACTCAGGGCGGACAAACGAGCAATCATCGCGTCATATACGACCACCAGCGATGAATGTGGGATCTGCTGCTGGGATTATACACGCTGCTGCATGGCAATTACGTCCTATGAATGACAGTTCGACCCTCGATTTTAACTATGTCCACCGCGAGCTCCGACAAGCTGAAGGTATACGCATGGACTCGCGCTCGATTATAATGAGAGTAGACTCGCGCAGAATCTACCTCACACTCTCCCCACTCCCCCACCCGACTACTTACTTAGCACGAGCAATATACTAATTGCAATAGTAAAAAAGGTCAACATCTTCGAGCAAAGTGTTCACGCTGCAACCATTCTGTCAGTCAGGTCAGGTAAATTTGGTTGTTGGCTGTCATGAAGGCACAGGGTCAGGTTTCTGGCCAGATAAGGTTAAAATTGGTCACACCAAGTAGTAAATACAAGTGAGCTTGTGTGAGCCCGCGAACTCGCAGTACAAATTCACAAAGGCCTAATGAAGACGAACGCAAACAAGGACCGATGTTTGAGATTTCACTTTCGTCACTACTCAAACTGTGTGGATAACTGCGACCTCTTTCATTTTTGATGCCATAAACGCACTGGTGAACACAAATTTTCGTTCCAAAACCATCACCTAATAGGGAGCGGATGATTCAGGAAAGACTGTTCCCGTCTTTCCTCTTCATCTAATCATACATTCTTGCGGCGTGGTTACTGGTAATAGGACTGAAAGGAGACTAGAGGATTGCGGAGTACAGCGGGATGCCTGACAAGCGTCATTTGGCATCGCCGAGCTACTATTTTCAATTAATTTTCAATTGCATATTTAATATTTTAGACTAACTGAAGGCAGTTCGCTTTTCTCCTGCACTGATAAAAACGACCACTATCTGAAATTTTCCATCGCGTCAATGCATTTCTTAGTCATTGTGTCACGAACAGGGAGCTCAAAGACGTTTCCCTATCTTTCCCTTAATAAAACTGAAGTGAACCGAACTGAAGTTCATGACTGCAGGCAACTCACGACGAACTGGCAAACCTAAACAGCGGCCATGGTATACGAGCAGTTTGTAAATAATGTTCAATGAAGGCAAGACGGAACAGGGTTTCAGTTTAATTTTGCCTGCCTTTTAGCTAAAATAAAAAATCTGTCGAAAATTCTGTGGCTTCAGTTGGATTCGAAATCGCGGCAACAAGGGTAAGGCCTCAGTACAGTCCACGCTCTAACCACCTGAACTACGATGTCTCACCGGGAGCCGTGAGTTTAATCAAACTTGGATAAGTTATCCCACCCATCCCACTGCATCATACTGAATTCACTAAGTCTGCTACAGTAAGCTGACTTCCCAAGCAGGCTTTCCTAAGTAGTCAATTTAGGATCCACCAGATGATTACAGGGCACTATTTAGTAATTAGGGGATTTGACTCATTTGAATAATTAATTTGGTTCCGTATGAATGACTCAGCGATGAAGACAATAAAGCCTTCTCCTTGTTGTCATGGATTCTAATCCCACCGAGGTCAACGAACTTTCCACCACAGGGTCAAACGAATTATTCAAATCAGCCAAACCTCCTATTAAGTAAGTATGCCTGGTAGTCAACCGGTGGATTCTCCATTGATTGTTAGGGGAAACCTGTCTGCGCAGTCAGCTCCCTGTATCACAGTTTGTAGCAGGCTTGGCGGGTAACTCGACCCAGTATGATTAGATTCACGGCTCCCGGTGCGGTCTCGTGGCCCAGGTGGTCAGAGCGTTGGCTGTAAGAAAAGCTTCCTCTTGTCGTGGGTTTGAATCCCATGTAGGCCACTGAACTTTATCCCAGACCCCCACCCCCCTATTAACAAAATTGGCATCGACATCCTCGTTTTTAAGAATGAAACCCCTTTGCACTTGTGATTGCATTTTCGGTCCGGCTTTACATTGAAGAATAATGATAGCACGAAGGCATCAAAGTTGCAAGCCACGAAAGAAATATCTCAAATATGTTTATGCTGTTAATGAGCTCAGGTTTAATAAATACGCAATTAACTGCTGATCTACCGCTAAGAACGTTTGTATCCACGCATGGCGAACTAAATCCATATATTTTCAATAATTAGGCACAGAAATTCATCTTTTCCTAAGAGTTCAACTACAAATCTCCCTTTACACATTCGGCTCGTGAGAAAGAACATTTTTGAGCTGACACTAGCTTTACAGAGCAGGACATTTCTGTCTGTACTGCAATGTCTATCAGGCGCTTGGACTTGTTCCAGGCAGAGAAATTTCTTCTCAAATACATTGGAATGACCCTTAAAAGAATATAATAAATTAGAACCAAAAAAACTTGTTGGCCTCGGTGAGATTCGGACCCACGACAGCAAGAGGAAGACTCTAGTACAGTCAAAACTCTAGCCACTTAATCTACGAGGCTCCTATCTCTGGCCTACTATGGCGAACGCGAGTTTTAGAAAATTCTGTTCCTTTAACTACTTTAAATGCGAACCACTCCATATTTCCAAATAACTACCACAAGAAAAGCGTATTTTACTGTTTGATGTTTAGTTGCTATGAAATTTCGGCAACGCCTCCCTTGAAAAAATGTAGGTTCCCATGAAGCCTGCGAATAGATGGCACATTAGTCATAGCTGAAATTCGGCTCGACTGCATGAGAAGGTTTTTGATGACAAGTTAATTCGCCGGCCAGTTCCTTATTATAATCCCAAATCTACCGCTGCAGTCTGCTTTGCGTAAACTATATGAGGGGCCTGGACAGTGTCCTGCAAGCTTTTGCCATCGCCTGCCCTGTGCTCATCAGGAACCCCTTTGGCTGCTCGGAGAGGACTGAAGCATGTGAAAGTATGTGACGGAAAACATATTAGATGCCACACTTGCATGGATTGAGCTTCTGTATCCTCGGGTCATCCCAGTAGATCAGAGATCCGTCGTAAATACTTGCCAGCTCTTGCAGTCCCAGAACAAGTTCCGAAGCCTTCTTTGGTCCCGGCAGGTTGTACACGAAGGAGAATGCACTAAAATGCAAGGAGTAAGGCTGTGCAACACAACAAAGAGACTGAATATTTATTTTTAAAAAGTTCCTGCTCTATATGAGTGTCGGGAATATTGGAGGTAAAATCAGCCAAAAGGACACCTTTATAGCCGGTTTATGACACTGGCTATGCACTATCCAAACTTCACGATGGGCACCGTGTTGTGACAGTCAAATTTAGATAAAAAGGAACTCACTGGCATTTAGGAATTTTTCAGATACCAATGGACGTCCTTATGTTTGAACTTAATTTGCCTCAGTGATTTTAAAATCTCAGATGCTGTAACCTCTTCCAGTAATTCGGTCTACTAAACCGAGGTCGGAACAGCCGGAAACGGCCGGATATGTTTAGCGGGTTTGGTGCCGTTGTAGACAAAGCGAATACGTCAGAGAAACTGGAAGATTAAAATAGACGCGAATGGCCGGGCACAGAGCAGCTGCGAGGAGGAAATACGCTAGCTCGTAGGTTGCGGCTCATTCGACGGGGCAAAGTCATATTTTCCCGTTGAACGAGGCCAAAATCCTTGCAAGAGTCGACGACCGCGTGAGCCGCGAGTTCAGGCCCGCAGTCTGTAAACAAGCGCAATGACCCCCCGTTCCCCTATTCCGTGCCGAGACTTGGTCTGAGCAGGGGAATCGGTCACTGGGTGGGGGTGGGGAGGGGGAGGGGATACCAACAATCTCGATGACAGCAAACCAACTGGCCGCATAATTATCACGCCATTAAGGACTCGGACGCGGGCTACCAAGTCAGCATCTTATCAATGATGACCCCAGCGGTCATCATGGGAACTGTTAATTGTAGTAGGGAGGTGGTCGATTGGCCACTAGGGAATATAAATATTGTGCAGCCTAGTACATCTATCGCCCCTATCTTTGACTGTCTCTGATGATGGCTTGGAGCGAGAATCCAAAGGTCAGGCGGATAAGCTTCCGGCGATCGACTCTTCTCCTTCTGAGCTGTTTTCTGGGTCTTGTTTGTTCACTGCCACCTGCGACCTACGAGCTCTTGTAGAGGCTTACATCGTTTCCAAAAATCTTGACGTACAGTCGATGCACTATCTAATGAAATCCAACAATTTTTACAAGTAACTCCCTCTTACTCAAACGCAGCCCAAGCTGTGGCC